GACTGTCTCTTCACTTAAACGGTGAATGGCAATGGCGGTCGAGGGGAGTAAATGTCGGCTGGGAAAGTATAAAGAGGGGTAAGTGATACGATTAAGAAGGGAGCGATAAAAGCACCCATCTCGGTGCGGGGCATGCAGGAACCTATTTTATGAAGGAAGTTAGAGATGTTCTTAGGGTAAGGTGCGTCATTCCGTTGTCATTGGCTGTTTTATGTCGACACAATCATTATCGCCCGCTTAATGCCACCGACAAAACAGTGGTCGACGGACTGAGGGAGGGCGGGCTAAAGTAACGAAAGGTGTAGTCTTTATAACATCAGTTGAAGTGATTAAGCTGTTCTACTTGCCTCCGACTTGGCAACTGTACTGAGCAAATATTGACAAAGACTGCCTTTTCCACCGAGCAGTAATGCGCAACGCAGAAAGGCAAGGCCGTGTCTCTCAGCAGAGGCTTCGTGAACATCAAAGCAGCTGCGTCATTGCCAACCCTAACCCCTCCCCCTCCCTGCAATGACTAAGACCTTGCGACAGCTTGCCCGCTTACTTAGCCTTTGTTCTGCTCGTGCATATTGCTAACACTTCCGGGGGTTAGTGGGAAAAACAGCTACGTGCTGAGCCAAAAGTTGTTTCTGGCTAGACGAGTTTACTCGGCTGTTCAAACACGGATTGTTCTTAAGTGTAGGCTACAAAGGGGAAGTTGTGTGCTCCTTCAGCCCCTTTAAACATGGCGCGAGAAGTGAAATGTGATGAGGGTAAAATAAAAAAAGACTGATGGTTTGTGGTCGTTCAGCGATGTGCAACTTCCTGGGCATTCAAAAATCCCCACTAAAAGTTTGCAAGTTTGCCAATCTGAAAAAAATAATAATGATGGTAGGAGTAATAGTCATAAAAACGCGAGAGCCAAAACGCTACGATATAACGTAGCTTGACGTAGAGTTAACAGAAACGTCGACTCAGAGAAAATCGCACAGGAGACGCCCATTTCGCAAGAATGTTCGTTTTTGATGCAAAAAAGGGGTAGCAGCCTATTACAGTGGCTATTTACTGCCGTTGCATGATGTAAACCTCCATCAGGTCAAACTGTTCCGGTCTGTTTTGTTAAAAGCTAGAATAAGCTTAAACAGCGAAATTGGAAGAACAGTTGATGCACATTAGGCGTACAGGACAATCTTATACTGCCACTTTTTTCCCATCCGCAGTTTCCTGTGTAATGCACAATAGCTTTATGAACACTCAAACCCAAATGAATACCCTAGATCACGCTAATGATTTAGATACGCAGAGAGGGTGATAACGAGGGAAGAGAATGGGGTAGGAAGACGCATTTGTCGCATATTCTCCACCAGTTGAATACAACTCAAGGGAAGAAGTGGTATTTTATATCACAACGCAATGGCATAAGTTGACTTGGACAAAACAACACCAAGATGCTTGTAGAACAGTCAAGGGCATCGGCTTGATAATCATGCTTGACCTTAAAACCACGTCCACTACAAGCGTTAGGTGGCATGTCATGGCTGAACTGCGTTTCATACACAGACGAAAATATTATTAGAAATTTTTCAATCTCGTAAATAGTGAGTATGTGCCTTTATCTATTCAAACATTTTCTTAAAGTGTTCTATGAGAACCTAGGAAAATCAAAATGAGTCATTTTCGAATTGTATGAACTTCTCAATATCTTTCTGAGTTAACTTAGTTATGAGACGGTTTGTTAATTAATGCGGACACTACCCTTTCCTAAACAGAAATAACTTCCGGGGATCTGAGCCAGTTGTTCAATGTCGAATGCGATAATGAAGTCGATAATAAGGTTAGGCTCTGTATTCATTCAATATTCGTTTTATGAGCGTGTTTGACCCACGTCAATGTTCCCTTAAAATACTTCTGTTGGCCCATCTGGTGGTTTGCGTTTACTTCTCATTGACTTGATTACAGTAAGAAAGGTATTACTATAAGCACGTCTAATTGACTTCGTTAAGGAGCAAGTATAAAGACAAAAAACACACATTTGCGTAAGTCGATTATCCGAAATAATAAAACTAACCTTCCAGCCGGCCGATGCAGGGGGATCACTACGTTCGCGAAAGTAGATGTAATTGCGCGATATGTAGTCGTATATTTGCTGTAGGGTAGCCTGTTTCTCAGGATACGACTCAATGGCATTGGCAATAAGGTCGGAGTAAGTCTCAGCTCCCCAGGGATTCCGTCGAGCCGGTCGTTTTGTCGCGTTTATAGCACCGCCATTGCCTGGTGTAGCCGCTGTAGAAGTTGGAAGAGGGCCAGGAAGTGAAACTTGGGAGGTTGCGGGACTGGGAGAACCTGAGACATGTACAGATGCTGCGGCCGGAAGGAGTTCCGGAAAACCGGAACCATTGCCAAGGGGGTAGGGAGCAGATGAGCTGAATGGTGGAAGGGTAGTTGTTCTGGTAGAACTGCCAGCGCCTGTGCCACAGGGGGTCAGAACACCCTGCGAATGTGCCCCAAAGGAGGAGACGGGGGAGAATGTGGAAGAGGAGGAGACATCCTGGAATCCAGAATTTCGACGCATGGAGTGGGAGAAAGAGGTGTTCCAGTCTCGCATACTTAGCGATGGTGAAGCCTCGCTAGCAGCTGCCATAACAGTGAGAAGGTTTGAACGTGTGTCTCCATAGTCGGAATCAGATGTCTTATCTAACAAATGAGAGCGAGGATGGAATTCCTGAGAACCCAGTTCAGTCGCCGTAGTACTACTGGCGGGTGAATAATGAGGCACAAGCTTGGGGGAGTTGTGATCTCCAAAGTCATTAAAATGAAGACCCAGAGCATCATCTGGAAACTGACCACTTCTTAAAGAGGCAAACGGATATGCTAGCTTGCAGTCTTCATGGACGCCAGTAAGTAAATCGGGTTTTTCATATGCTGACGTGGTACCAGCACTCCAAGTAGAAGAACGTCCACGAAACCCATCTCCCATTCCTTCGAATGGAAAACTTAAGTCTTTTTTGTCCAGCTTGAAGTCTTGGTAAAGAGCATGGGGGAAACGAAGCAGGGGTTATAAAGAGGAATAACCAACTCAAAGGAATTAATTTTTTCTAGAAAACACTATTTGTGGGTTCCCATGAGTAGAATTTAGAAAAGCTGAAAATATATATTAGACCAGAAACGTACGTGGCTGTTTTGTCAGTTATAAGTCGTACGTTAACGTCTTACAGCCCCAGTGCCTTTGTGTTTTCCTCAAACAATACAGAAAAGGACGGTTAAATTATCCCTGTTGACTCGATAGTAAAACTGATCCTACTTTGCTAAAATTTCAGCAGACGGCTAAGATTTATAGTTTCAATTATGTGAGCCCAAAAATAGTGTCTAAAGAAATAAACACAAGAAACGTGAAAAATATGAAGAAGGTATGCAAGTTTGTTTCAACGTTCCCACGATAATGACAAATAAAGTAAACAAGTTATGAGTAGAAGGGGCGCTCCTGTCTGCCTCTTTAATTAGCAGTGGGTTCCAAAAAATAAAAAGCAAATACGCAGTGGAAGAATAAAAAATCCTACTGCTAATGTACCACTTCGTATATTTAAAGGACACTCGTGTATTTCCAGTAGATCAACTGAAAATATGCGAGTTTGCAACATGTGCCGTTTTAATGAATAAAACTACTTCACAAATGGGACTGCATTGTAAATAAGTGGATTAAATTGTATTAGGGTACAGCCATGTACTAAATAGTTCTATTTCGCGCGATTGTCAATCAAACCAAGGAATAGTACAGTTGTCGAATTACACAAAAACCGAATACTAAGAAACCTATATTCTGTATTAAGACCTAGTAAGCTCTGTTTAAAAGGCCAAATCGTCCAAATTAATGCGCACACCTCCTATAGATTATGAAAGATCCATGTAAAAAATCGTGAAGTTTAATACCTACCTCGTATGAACACCGAAGCCAAATGACAAAAGAAGAAGACGATAAATTCTCTGGCAGAAATACAACAACGGACACAGCTTTCACTAAACTTACTTATTTTTGGATAGAAAAAAAACAAGTAAACCATGCTCTAGATAAAAACAAGTGATGACCGTAGTTGATATTTTTCAGATATTGATCAATATCTTGCCAAATTTTAGGCAATTAAGTACGACAACGCAGTAATAGTTAAATAATTGACGTCAGAAACGCGAGGTTTATTTTACTTCAATAAATCAGGTGAGATAGAAGTAGAACGTTCATTCTTTGCTTTGGGGAACTCATTGAAACACCTAAGCTTAAGTTTTTCAACGAAAAACTAGTGTTTCAGGATAAGTATCGTGAATGAAAAATGGGTTTTCACTGCAACGCAAAAAAGGGATTCCAAAATTTAAAGGATTAAATTTAAAAATAATAAGGCAAACAACCAGACTTCAATTAGTTCTATAAGTGCGATTTGCATGCGTACAAGTTACAAAAACTCAAAAACGCTCACCGGGACGGCGAACTCGAAAAACCGCGAACGCCAAACAAGTGCTCAGGTCGTGAGATTGACACATACAAACAAAAACACTTTGGGATCGAATCAAAATGTCGAGGTTTCTTATTTTGTGACAAGACTAGCTTTTTTAGCGCTCATAGTAAAGGCGTGTTATAGGGAGGGGTTTAAAGATTTTATCTCAAAGCGATTATTTGCGTTATAGCGGATCCGAAGTAACGATAATATTTGAGCTTCCAAAAGCAGAAAAGTCTAACTAAACTAGTCATTTTGCATATCTTTATTCTGAAAGAAGTGCTTGCGTTTATCATACTTTTACCCAAAGAGCGTCAAAGTTTTCCAATAATACATCGGTGTTCATTTTTACAGTGAAAATTACTGAGATCTTTCAAGGCACTGCTCCAGAAACACTTTTATCGCCAGCTTTCAGAAACGGCTTATCTGAGTTCACTAGTACGGCCACCGTACTCCTCGTAATAGTTTTTACCTACTTTACGCAAAATTACCGATTTGCTGATTTGTTACTACCGTCCCACATCCCATGGGTGGCATGATTCTCCTTCCGCTTCCGGTTATGTGTACCGCTTTCAAGTAACTGTAAAGTAACATACGATTTTCGTAGTCTGGGTATAGCAATTTTCTTTTGAAATCTCAACTTATTGTTTTCGGGGGAATTTATATATAAATTTTTTGTTTACAAAAAAACCTCCTCCATCGTCTTTATTTTTCATCTCTCTTTCCGCCGAGGTCGATTCTTCATGCTAGGTCTTGAAAAAATCCGGCGGCATTTTATTTCATGCAATAAACTTTCTTTAAATAATTTGCAGTCCTGAGTTATACATCCAGGGAGGATAAGATTTCAGTCTATGTGTAACGCTTCAGCTTGCATTTGGCATATGTCCCCTTGCCATATATTTGGCCGCATTTCTTTTGTAGCATACAGTTCATAGTATCCATCATGTCCCCGTAAAATTCCCACCGAGCGTAGATAGGTCTTTCCCATCAGAAGCTTTTCCGAAACCGTGGTACAGACAACTAGCCATGGTCTTTAGCGTACGTTTTTGGAAGTTTAACATACTCTGTGAGAAGAGCTTTTCGTGTTATCCTTAGGAGACTGTGATCGAGAGCACACTTCAAGGGCTTTGCTTTTATATCGCTCCATCGAATGCCAGGCGCTCGGAAGTCACGCATGCGAACAGCATCGCGTCGACTACCGATCTTATTTATGTTTTCCAGCAAACAATTGGTTTCGTCGGGATCCGTTATCAGCGATCGGTAGTCACAGCTTCAAGAGCTATGATACCCGTGCCTATATCGTCAGCCGACCAAACTCAATATCGTCAAGGACCTTTCGGTATCCTTGCACACATTTAAACTGTTCATTTAATGTACGACAGCTCCTCATCTCCCAGTTTTTCTTCTGCTTTTCCCAAAAACGATTAACCTTGTAATGCTTCTTGGCACTCGCAGCGATTTTCTGACCGCCAAACTGTTGTTATTATTTAATGACAGGACACACATCAGCTACTAAGTTTGGATTTCATAACCCAAAACAAGTGATGCATCCAGGCATTTGATCGCTGTCGTTTGAACATTCAGTGCAGGCCGCCACCGTCACACCCCTCCAGGTCGACGCCGATGCCATATGCAGTGCTATTGCAGCGCCATCGCCCTACTGGCCATCGACTTCGATTCTATCACACTCAGACCCCACCATTGAAAAGCACGATAAGCAGGCACTACGGATTCTGCTCAGCAGCTCTGTGGATGTTATCGATTGGGATAGGCAGCACGGCAGTCGTACGAGATTTTATCTGCGCGTCAGCCATGCCGTATCCCGCCACGCTTCTAACAGGAAGTCAGCGACCTGGTCCAAAAAATCACCTCAACGGAGGTTAACAAGTCAGCAAAGTCACTCTGGGCCTGCACAGTAACTTTATTTACTAAGAAGGATAGCCGGCTCCGGTTCTTTATAGACAACCGTCCCTCAATGTGGTAATCCCACGTGATTCGGTTTCCCTGCTCGCATCGATGCCACATTGGAAGTAGTCGCAGGAGCTCAATGTTTCTCCGCGCTAGGCTTTAAATCACTTTTTGGCGCGTTCTTTCGCAGGCCAATGAATCAGGTCTCGGACGAAACATTTGCTTCACCAGCCGGTCGTTGTCTGTACCAGAGCGGAATTACTAAATGAACTGCCAGGGAATTCTAGCCCCCAGAGCATTCACAAACCGTTTTAACACTTTGAATGCGACTCCCAGAATAGCCTGTATGCCCGTGGTGCAACATTTTCAAACCTGGATAATTTCAGTTCTTCAGTCAAAGGCTGTGACACGGAAATCAAGGCTACCCACAGATGCAAAGAAATTGAGAAAGTTTCTTGGGATTGTTATATGCATGGATCTTGTTCGAGCGCCAAAATTTGAGCACCAATGGTCTAAAAAAGAGATATACAATTATTCTTTCATTCGAAATCACATTTCCAGAGACAGATTCCAGTTGCTACTGAATATGCTTCATTTCAATGATAATGAAGTGATTGATCGACAAAACAAGTTGCATAAAATCCAGCCACTGATTGACAATGTTTCTCAGAGCTGCAGGTCAGTGTACACTCCAGGATCACGTGTTGTCATTGATGAGTCTCTCGTTTCGTTCAGAGGGAGAGTAGTCATTAGACAATACATTCCTGGAAAAGCCCATAAATATGGAATAAAGCTATATAAGTTCTGCACACCCAATTCATACACTTGGAATTTTTTGTATATTCTCGCAATATGGCCAAAGAACCAACATTTCAGCATTCGGAGTCTGTTGTCCTGCAGCTTTCAAGGCCTCTTCTTCTGCAGGGATTAACTATTTATGCGGATAATTTCTATTCGTCCGTTCCCTTGGCCAAAAAACTTTTACAGGAAAAAACGTACTACTGTGGAACTGTGCGGAAAAACCGAAAAGCATTGCCTCACTCTGTTATAAAGGCCAAGCTGAAGAAAGGAGAAATTGCAGGTTTGATGAACAGCATAGCAGTGAAAGTTTGCAACTGCAAAGATAAAAGGAACGTCCTAACGTTGTCTACTGTGCCTGAACATTCAGGCAATCTTCAACCCTCAGGGAAAAAGAATCGAAATGCCACTGAGATACTCAAGCCACAAAGTATTCTAGACTACAATACTGCTAAATGTGGGGTTGATAAATCAGATCAGATGACATCTTACAATACTGCACTCAGAAGAAGTACGAAATGGTACCGTAAATTGGCCATAGAATTGTTGACAGGAACTGCTGTAGTAAATGCCTGGGTACTCCACAATCAGTTTTTTAGCCAACAAAAGACAATGGGTATGACCGAATTCAAAGCATGTCTAGTCATGTCACTCATTACAGGAAAAATGAATGAAGAAATGCTTCCAAAACCAAAGCGTTCCGATATTGGAGGCCTGCGTTCCAGCCATACATTAGTTGAAGCTGAAGGCCCAAAGCTCAAAACAAGAAAACGCTGCAGGTCCTGCT